GTGTGTGTGTGTGTGTGTGTGTGTGTGTGTGTGTGTGTGCGTTTTACGTATGTGCATGATTTGGAGTCAGGCTGGAGGAGAGAGCAGCAGACAAGGTGGAGAGTGGACGAGAGAGGCACGTTACCCACGCTGAAGACGCCAGTTTTCTGTTTACACCATAAAATCTGAACAAAAGCTCCTCAGAGGTAAGAAGATTTATGATTTCTGCAAAGGTCCAGGGCTAAAATCACAAAAACACATTAAAATTTTTGTATAAAAATTCTGTGTGTAACACAGTATGCAAATATTGATTATATCAGCATTTAACAGTTAAATGTATTAATTTATTCAAGTTTAGATCAGAAAACTGATGATTCTGGATGTTCACGTTTCATGCTTTTTATGCATGAGACATGAAATAGGCTGAAATGCTAAAATATTACATCGCACGTGCTTAAAATGTCAGTATTGTTGGAAGATAAATGCACTAAAATCTAAAAGTTAATAATATTTCTGTCATTTTTCTTTTTCTTTGTGACACATTGTGTAAATTAGCAACATTAAAACAAAACGAATTCTTTATATTTCAATTCATTTTAATCCAGAGGATATGCAGTTAAGCTTTATGTCTGTGACATCAGAGGAAATATCAGACATCGAACTAGGAATTCTAATTATGAAAATATGTGAACTTCTTGCTCAGAATCAGAAGACTAACCCATGCTGTAATGTCAAAACACTGAATGATATAAAACCTCATCTTGTGTCATTAAAGTAACGAGTTAAAGGGCAAAAAGAAGACTGAGAAATACCCCATGTGGCTTTATGATTATTCCTGTATTGCCTTACCTATACATAAGATCCAGTTCAATTCCTCCCACAAAGAAATGATTATGTTATTATTAGTAATGTTGACTTTGTAAGAACAATGTGTTACACAAAGCTATTTGCGTCTTGGCAATTATTATTTTTTGAACAAGTTGGTTACTGGTGTTAAAGATTTCAGAATAACTTTAATTTTTTTGATTCCTAAAATAAATTGTTAAATCTGATGCAAATTTAGTACACATAGTGGGTTAAATGTGATGGTTTCATAGCTTATTTAGGAAATTCACATTATTCAGATTAGAACAGTTGTTCCCAAAATTTTGTATCGGTAAATATGTCAAACAATACCAGTATCCATGAAACCTTTTTTCATTGATTTTTAGCTGTTTTATTATTTGTAACAGTCAAGGTGAAACTATGTCATAAGAAAACATGTTTGAATTTATGTTATTTGGAAATCATCTAAGGATTTGGTGTTTAATGACTCAGAATTGTGCCCCAACCCCAACTCTGAGAAGCACTGGTGTAAGATGATGATCAGTCTTTGTTTAAGTTCTTTTAGGTCATTTCATTCTTACATTAAAATTAAGTCATTACTTTAAAACTTGATGGGGCATAACGAAACTGTAAGAACTTGGAGTTTTAAGATCATTCAAATGACAATGGAGAATATTGCAAATAAAAAAGTCTCCACACACACAAAAAAAAGTTATTTCTGGTAGGAAAATAAAAGTAATAAAAGGAAATCAATCTTCAGTCAGAGGAGGTGGTGACATCTCATTGTAATGCAAAGGATGAATACACTACAGTGCACCGACAACATGCTGCTGTACAGCCGACTGTGCTTGAAGCTTTTTTTTTCTGCATATTGAAAGTTTTAGTCAATAAGCACACAGTGCACCCTGATGACATCCAAAATAAGGCAACTGCAGGAAATAAAAAGACCTCTGTGACACATGAACTTTGGTTCATGTGTCACAGGGAGGAAAGTGTTTTCCTTCAGCATCGTATTCTAGTTTTAGATTTGAAAAACAGCCATTATTATGTCTGCTTATAACTCTGTTATTTGAATTCCTACCACAGACAATTTTCCTGTATGACAACCTCAACTTCACTCTACAAGGCAAAAACGTTTTTTAATAGGAGCTGTTTAGTTTATGCCTATTTCACAACCTAACCGCATGTTTTCTATAGACAATTTGCAAGTATATTTGGACCTCATCAAATCAAATCTGGAATCAGGATTTTATTCAGATTGGGAAATTACTCGGCATCGAAACAAAACAAAAAAAGTCAAAAAAAAAAAAACAAGGTCTTTTAAAGGCACAGAGTGTAGGATTTGTTGTTTTCCGTGACATCTAGTGGTTGAGTGGTTGAGTCATCCTCCCTGGTCCTCCCCCCACCCCCACCCCCAGCTTCCAAACGCAAAGGAGTTGCTACGGTGTCTCTCAGGTGTCAAAAACCTTTGATAATTCCAACCGTGATGTCTACCAGCAGCTTCAGGGCTAGTGATGTTTCAATTGCTAAGATTATGAGCTTTTATAAGTAAAATTATCCCAGCTACAATGACAGACAACAAATATTACATTTATAGTATTACAACTAAAACCATTTTTGACGCCGCCACCGCAGTTTGTCCTTCATGAGCCTTCGTAGACAAGATGGCTGTGCAAGATGGCGGCTGCCTGTAGTGGCGACCCATGACCATGGAGATATAAACAGCTTTTTATAAGGTAAAAATAATAAAACAAGGTCTTTGTCTGCAATGATTAGACATGTTTTTTATTATTGTCATGAGTGATTATCTCAATTTCGGCTAAAAGAATTGACAAAATCCTACACACTGTGCCTTTAAAAATTGACGTTTCCTCCGGCTTCCAGAAGTTGTTATCAAATGATATTGATGAGGAGAATGTTTGCTAAAAGATTTAATTAGCTCTTATAAGAATTTATTACACTTTTTATATGACTTCCGGGAAAGTTTGTTGCTATTTGGATTTGATTCTTATTGATAAATGTATCTATGATCCTGTGAGTAAGAGTCAAATTGTAGAGAAATGAGTATATGTCGCTCTCTATCCTGCATGCCATAGGTTTGGATGAAGATCTACAGAATCTGTTAGCACTTGGATTATCTGTTAGTGACACGCAGCTACTACCACATCAGATTTTACCTCAATATCTGTAAAAAACAGCAATTTTTGTGTGGGTTCAGGTCAGCTACATTTCTATCTGTGAAGGCCATTTTCAATCATGTTAACTCCAAAACTTGGTATGCCGTAGAGTTAAATCCAGTCATTGTGTTTTAAGGGTTTTACAGGTTTATGAGATATTTTGCTAACCGATGTATAAACAAATGTAGACACACACACACACACACACATACACACATACACACAGGCAGTTACATGACTGCCTGCCTTTCACGTTAGCGGGCAACATTAATTTCAAGAACAAAAAAAAAGGTATCTTCCACAGTATCAGGTATTCATAGATATCTGGTTCTGGTGAGACTGCATGCATGGTGACTGCTGCTCAGAAATAGAAAGTCAACATTATTTCACCCTCAGCTTGGTAGATGATGTGCGAGCCTCCGATCTGACTGTGACCACACAGAGGGAAGCGACTGGATGACAAATATAAAGTTGTGAGAAAAACTATGAATTCAGAGTTAGAAATGACCAGCAGCTCTCCACTCCAAGTCTACTTGTTGCGTTATTGAAAATAAGCGAACATGTAGAAAAACATTCTTTTTCATCGATAATTGGATTTTATTTCATTCTCTCTCAAAAAAATGACTATATAATGTATCTCACAGGACCATAATTGTCATCAGTGCAACAATACCTCTAAGCAGGCTTCATGGAATGTTTTCTGTTTAATTCTATATCTTAATTTTGTATTTCTAAACTAGATGGCTCTTTTAGTTAATTCAGTCACTCAATGTCAGAACTACTATAATAGAAATACTACATACAACTACTCCATTAGAAAAACATCAGCAGAAGGTGATCTAATGCAAAACTTCATGTTTTTGCCACATATGGTGAAGAGATGACCATCAACTTTCTTTACTGATGCTGTGATCATCAAAACCTTTGTCAGAGTTAAATTCTAATCAGAAAAATATCTTTGTACAATTACCTCCCAGACTTAATTCCTATCCGAGCGCGTTTAAAGTATCAGCACATTCAGTTTTAATTAATCAGTATTTTCTTTTCTCTCTCACCGGAGAATGAAGTGATTCATCACAATGAGAAGTTTTTTAATACCTCATTGTGTCACAATCTTGACGGGAGGCTAATGCACTGCTGAAAGTCACTGTTGGCAGGAAGAAAAACAGTAATTTTCTTTGTTTAAATGAAGCTAACATTAAAATCTATTTAAAAAATAATTTACCTACTGATTCACAGTTTTTGAGATGTACCAGTTTGTTGGTAATTTCTAGTTATTAATTTGTTGCAACAGAAACATTAGGTGAGAAACTGAGATGGTGGTTTTATAACTTTAATGTCAAAAATGTTGATCAAAAATCCCATGGATCTGAGACAACTCTGAGCAGCAGATTGTTTTTGTCATAAAGATAAAGCGTGAAAGTTTTCACTTACATGGTACATATACACCTTTAGTATATTTACAGAATGCATACAGGAATACTGACAAACAAGGTGCGCATCTGGTACCTATATGTCCCTTTTAGGGCACTTAAAGCATGTGTACCCAGTGCTTTCAAGGTACTTGCAGGGTACCTATAGGAGTAGGAATTAACAAGATACATAACTGGTTCCTAGAGTGTACTTACAAGGTACCTACAGGAGTAGTAACTTACAAGGTACATACCTGATATCTATAGTGTACCTTCAAGGGCACATACAGGGTACCTACAGAGTTATTTACAGGGTGTGTACCTGGTACCTACAGTGTATCTGTATGAAACGAGGTTAGCGACATATAAGGTTTGTACCTGGTACCTACAGTGTACATTCAAGGACACTTACAGGGTATGTAGTACTCACAGGGTACTTACAGGGTGTGCATCTGGTACCTACAAGCTACTAGCAGAATACTTACAATTAATCTGTAAAGGCCACTTCATGTACCAGATCRCTAAGGAGGATTTAAAAAGATAGGATACTTATGGGGGTACTGCCAAGGTACCAACAAAGGTACTCATGTACCAGATACAACTCAAACTGTAATAAGTTGCTACTGGAGCTTTTATTTTCRGGTAAAATATCTATTTAAAAGTTTTAAACTATAACAATATTTCAGCTGTCTAAACAATCTCATTCATCAGATTCTTCCCAAATGAGTTGGTTTTATTGTATTATAAAGTGTTTTTTTTTAATTATTTTTTTAGGTATTGGGTCAGAACCATCACTCATGATGTCCAGTAACTGTTCTTTCAATCTAATAGAAGACAAAAGAGAATGGCTTTGTCCTCCAGAAAACATTTGTGCCAATGTGACTTCAGTCATGAACGACAGTCTAATTGATGTGGATGAAGCATGTCTGACAAACGACCAATATTTGGAAAATTATTTAGGTTATCGTCGATCACCCATGTTCCTCCCAGTCTGCCTCGTCTATCTGGTCATCTTCTTGGTCGGCGTTGTGGGGAATGTGCTGACATGCACGGTCATTGCACGCAACAAAGTCATGTGGACGCCAACAAACTACTACCTGTTCAGCTTGGCGGTGTCAGACCTGCTGGTGCTACTACTTGGTATGCCTCTGGAGCTGTATGAACTGTGGCAAAATTATCCCTTCTTGTTTGGGAAAGGAGGCTGCCACTTCAAAATCTTCTTATTGGAGACCGTATGCTTGGCGTCGATCCTCAACGTGACGGCTCTGAGCATCGAACGCTACATTGCTGTGGTGCACCCACTGCGGGCAAAGTCTGTTGTGACACGTACCCACGCCAAGCGGGTCATCCTCACCGTGTGGGGTGTTTCAGTGTTGTGCGCTGTGCCAAACACCAGCCTGCACGGGATCCTCATCCTCCGCATTCGCTCTGCCGGCCCTGCTGGGGTTGAAAACCTGGACATCCCTGACTCGGCCATCTGCACGCTGGTAAAACCACAGTGGATGTACAACCTGACCATCCAGCTGACCACCTTTCTGTTTTTCATTCTGCCCATGGCCACAATCAGCGTCCTCTACATGCTCATCGGGGTGCAGCTGAAGCGTGAAAAGATGCGGCYGGCATTAGAAGGCAAGTCTGGTTTCGGAAAGGACAGCTTCTGCAATGTCCGAATGCAGCAGCAGAAGACACGTCGCCAGCAGGTCACGAAAATGTTGTGTGAGTATAAAAACCTGATAAGGAAACAATTTTTAAAAACCTTGTTAATGTTCCAGTGCAGTGTAAATACAGTATACACTCATTTTTTTAAAGTTGTTTTAGAGCAGGGGTGTCCAAATCTGGTTCTTGGAGGCGGCAATCCTGCATATTAAACCAGCCGGTTCGGATGTTTTCAGTCCATTAAATGGARGTTATTWGCGGTTATCAGTCCCATAKAATGGCTTCAGACTGTCCSGACAGTGCCCCCTAGTGGGTTACCAYTGCCATATACGTTGGAATGCAACAATCTGCTACRGCCTGTGTCCAGTCTACTTTATCYTAGCCCATGTCATTTTCTCTAAAACTAACCTTAGTGGCTTTATGCCTGATATTAACTAGATTGCATAAAAAACCTTAGTGGCTTTATGCCTCATACTAACCAGCTGACAGTCTGAKGCCATTCTACGGGWCTGATAACGGCTAATAARGTCCATTTAATYGATGATAACATCCGAAYCGGGTGRGTTAAACTTGTTTCTCTGCTCCAAAACACCTGAACACATTTTTCWGGCACAATCAAGTAACWATGTTACCTTCAGTTATWATAAAAATGCTATATGTATCAWGAATAAATTTGACTGCGTCACAGTCTYTCGAAACGCCMTGAAATTGGCCTCTGTCTCTTTAAGAACCTCCTACCYTTTCAGACACTCCCACTTCAGCACGTTTTCACAACAATGCTCRGGGGAAGGAGTGCTCTMTGGGGCGGAACATGGTTGTCCACGGAGGAGCTTTGTACAGTAGGTGGTGCTTTAGCATATAGGCAGCTCCACATGACCAKKACAGGAGATTCATTGATTTSTCAGACAATCATAAATGAGTCAAAGCAACAATCTGGGTATGTTTTTGATAAGGTAATGATATTYTAAAATGACATAAAGCTCAAACAAGTCYATTTTGWTTAATAACACCATTTTAACTAATTGTTGGTATCTTTGTCTTGAAACTGGATRTAACTCWGTACAAAACAGACTTTCTACAACGGTTTCCGCATAGACATTTTACTTAGTGCCCTACATTTACTGCATATYCTGCTTCTTCCGAGGTGCAGGACTAACAGACGGAGGAACTCCTTTTTTCCTTATGCAATTAAACTGTTCAACTCTTCACTGGAGTTTGAGAGGAGGTCCAACCAGAGTACAACAGAAACAGCAGGACAATAAGATTGGGTTATTACTTTAAAAAGAAAGCTGATTTAACTAAGAGTGCTGTGTGGAAAAAGGAAAGTACAATTTGCCTGAGGGAACATAAGGGATTAATAAAGTATCTATGTGTCTATTTGAAATCACACATCATCAAAATTACATGTCTGCACCTACTGAAGCTATTACCACTTTATATTCTGTAGAAGACTGTTAATCACCCATTTATTCAAATCAGATGTGTTGGAGCAGAGAAGCTTCAATGTGCAGGATAGTGACACTCGTGGACCAATTAAAACCATTTTTTAGAGGATAAAAATACAGTYTAAAAACCTTTTAAAGGTTGGCTTGATTCAACAAGCTTGACAATATAATCAGCAAAACTTAGGGTACTCAAGTGTGTAAAAACTTGCATATAAGACCTTCAACACCTTCTAAAACTGAACAATGCTCTTATTCTCAAAGGTAACATTCTAGAGAGTAAACATAAAACTAAAAGACATCCTATCAATTAGCAAACACTGCTACTCATCAATGAACAATCTTAAGATCAACACAARGCTATTTGAGTTCACAACATCTGCGTTAATTTAGAAGCATGACATTTCATAATCAACAGCGTAATGCTAATTAAGAGCCCAAAGCAGATTTAGCTCGGCGCACAGGTTCTTCTAACTCATTAGCTGAAATTAGAACTGCAACTAACAGTCCTTCAAAAACTGTATAATTGACCTTTCAGAACCTCCTGCTGAATCTCCAGCTTCCAATTCACACTTGAGAAAACAATTCAGCATGTGGCTCATTAGCAGGCATTCTTTAATAAATGTAAACTTTATGCCAGTGTGGCCTTCAGTGACTACAATCATAACCTAGTACAAAAAAGTCAAAACTACCTCAAACAAATTCACAATATTAAGCTATACTTTCAGCCTCCTACTCATGTTTTAGGATGCAGCACAGCATCACCATTTTGTACCTTCTACACAACGTATACAAGGAGCTTTTAGATTATCTTTCATGCTGGAGGGGCTAGTTGATGCAATATACATTTAGTCTGTTTCAGTCTGAAACTTCACCCTTAAAGAGCACTAAATCTTCCTCAATGAACTCAGTATAAGATTAACAATAAACTTTCAATCAATCAATCAATCAATCACTTTTATTTAACCAGATAGAGCCCATTGAGATCAAGATCTCTTTTCCAAGGGTGACCTGGTCAAGAGGTCAGCAGCACACGTCACAGGGTAGCTGACACAAAAGTTACATTGTAGAAAAGAAAAATATACATAAAATACAGTAGCATTAAACAGATTTAGACAATGAGTAGTACWAACAATCTAGATGAGTCAAAGTAGTAATCTAGGCGTTGACAGATGCTTCAAGACTTAATAAAATGGCATTTGAGAATTAAATTACCAAGTTTAGATTGAGTACAGACTGAAAAATAGAAGTATCACATACAGTAGATAAATAGTGTTTAGACAGCTATCAAAACTCTTGATAAAAAACTTTAAAATCTGCTAAACTTTAAAATCTGTTAAAACATTGCAAACACAGAAAGGCATTATGAAAAATATTACTTTGTAGGTTTGTAAAGACAAATATTGACTTCAACACTCATGTCTTTCTCTGTGATGCTGTTTTTTAGTTGTTTTAGTGGTGGTGTTTGGCATCTGCTGGGCCCCGTTTCACATCGACCGCCTCATGTGGAGTTTCATCAGCAAATGGACTGACAACTACCTGAGAATCTTTGAGTATGTGCACGTCATCTCCGGCGTTTTCTTCTACCTCAGCTCAGCGGTCAACCCCATCCTGTACAACCTCATGTCCACGCGCTTCAGAGAAATGTTCAAGGAAGTGATGTGCCATCGGCCGCACCACACCACCCCGAGGAAACACTCGCTCAGTGTGACCCGAGTGACGCTTCGCAGCACCCTGAGTGACGCCCCGCTCAGCAACGGAGCCGCTGTTGTTGAAGCTGAGGCGGAGGGTGGAGGGAGACAGGAAGGTGAAAGACCGGGAGAATTTGTCTCGTTAAAGACAACTTTGAGGTCATGCAAAGAGGACAGGGTTTGCTGAATGGTCTTTGGTTTAAAGGGCTGCCATGTTCTGAATCAGTGCGCCCATGTGATCAGAAACTGCACTGTGGACGTATTAAATGAAAGACACACGACTTCTTAAGWCTAAAGTGTTCATTGCACTAAAATTTTAAAAAGATAACCATTAACCCAACAGGTACACTATGAATATGACCTCCGTCGATCATGCTGGGTAACGCAAACACTCGATACAATAAAGCTTTAAAATATGGATGTACAGTACCAACTGTACATAAACTGTACTGTAAATATAGATATTCTACGCACATGATCAGTTTTGTCAATGTACATTCAAATTAAGTTAAGCAGTCTGCAAACTTTCCAATCAAAAGAACAATTTCTGCTATTTACTGGAAATTTTACTTAGCTTTGATCAAAACGTTGTTACTCCTAATTTTTGGTGTTAACAGAATGACTTGCCACTTATTTCTATTGTATTCCTAATGCGATTATGAATTTAAATAATATTTTCCTTTTCAGTTTTGGTCAAAATTCCTGCGGGACAAAAGGGGCCACACGTGGCCCCAGAGCCAGAGGTTGCAGACCCTAAGTTAGCAACACAACTAAGAAACACAGGAAGAATAGTTCATCATGACAAGATATAAAAAGTTTAACACAACAGCAAGACTTTGAAACAGATTTCCTTTGTAGATATTTGTACAGTTGTGTTTAATGGAAAGAAACTCGTTAAAATATTAATAATATGGGGAAAACTGAGGTTGAAAATAGTTTGATGTTATCAGATAAACGCAAAAATGACTTTAATTCACATGAATGTATTGGTGTTGATGATGTCGTAGTAATAATACGTGTTACAGTAATTTGTTTAAAAAAATTCTAAAACAAAAGTTTTACTCTAAAATGTGTTTATGTAGGAGATTAAAAAAACCTGCTGTCTGAATTAAAAGTGGTTTTCTTTATAGTAACAAGTCTGTGTTCTGCTGACGCTGGTCTTAGTACGTTTCTGTTTGATGCTTTTGTTGTTTAACAATTTGTAAATATGACTGTGTGTTAATATTAAGAACTATGAAAACGCAATGACTTAAAATAAACTGCTTTTGTGTAGGTTTGTTTGGTTAAACTGTTAATTTTGGAGGAAAAATATATATGGTGTGTAAATTGRTTATGAACTCGCACAAAAACAAATAAAGTAATTTTTATCATGTCAAAGCTGAAGGGAATTTCCATTTTCAATGACATATATGAATAAAACAGTAACCTTTGTGGTATGAAGCTAAATCAACTGTGTTTGAATCAAATAATTTCTATAACAATGTGAAAGGCTCAAGACTTTCATGATATTTGTGTAAACTATGTAAACTATGTAAACT